GGGGTGCCGGGGGGGTGCCCCCGCCGCCAGTGCGAGTAGTTCCAGCGGCTGTGGTCGACCCACTTGCAGCTCACCGTTCTGCCCTGCGCAGCGGGGCGGAGGGCATGGGGACACCCCTCAGCACCGGGCAGGGGGCCCGGGGGGGGCGGGCTGGGGCGCCCAGGGATGGGCATGGGGACAGGGCTGGGGCACCCAGGGTGGGCACTGGGAACACTGGGATAGGGCTGGGACACCCAGGGTTGACATTGGGGACAGGGGCCAGGGCTGGTGCCCCCGGGCCGGGCAGGGTGCCCTGAGGCCACAATGGGGTGGTGGGTGCAGGGTGCGAGGGTCCCTTACCACAGTCCGGGTGACGGCCCCGATCCAGACCTCGGTGCGGTTGGTGCAGAGCCGCGCCCTGCGCTTCAGGAGGACGTTGACGCGGTAGCTGTGGATGGAGGCCAGGCGCCCGTGGTAGCACCGGGAGCAGGTACGCTGCGGGGGGACGGGCAGCGGTTATGGGGACACCCGGGTGGCACGAGGTGGCCCCGAACCCCAATCTCCCCTGCCCACCCCCGGCCCACCTGGGCCTTGCGGAAGGTCTGGCAGCGGGTGACGACAGCGTAGCGGTAGGTGGTGGCACTCAGTGGGTCGTGGATGCTGAATGTCTGCGCCTCGCTCTCCAGCGGGCACCGGGTGTCCTCCTCCGGCACCTCCAGCGCCGCCTCCTCCGCCTCGGGGCTGGCAGGGGCTGGGGGCACCGGTGGGCGTCAGCCCGGGCACACGGGGTGCGGAGGACCGGGGGGTCCCCACGGTGTCCCCGCAGGGTGGGCGGCCTGGCGGGCACTCACCGGGGTGGCTGGCGGAGGCCGTGCCCAGCAGGGCCAGGGCGAGGAGCAGGCAGGGCTGCATGGCGGGGCTGGGGACACCGGCGGGGCTGGGGACGCTGGCACCCTCGGGCGCCCTTGGGAGGTGCCATGTCCCCAGTCACCCTCTGCCACCCTCGGGCCATCCTCATGTCCCC